ATCATAACTGTGGCATTTTGCACTTCTTCTCCATGCCACTGCTGCTGAGTGTAACCAACTGTAGCAAAATGAAGGAGATACGTAAGTCGTGACCTGTGCTGCATAACTAATACATCATCTTTTCTCTTCCCATAACAATCAGAAGGTAAGTCAGGTATTTCTTGAAGATTAGGTGCATCTCTATTTAGAGAAAAGAAAGCTAGACGAATGTGTCTGTGACAAGACAGTAACATAATTGATAAGAATTCGTAAAGAGCTTTATTGACACCAACATCAATTACGTTAATAAGAGAAACTCCATCTTGAATCAGGGACAGCTTGCCAGGCTCATCTTTAATATTCTCAAGTAAACTTTTGGTTTTCCTCATAAGCCATCGAACATGCCTATCCATGACAGATTTTGGTGCTTGATTAGTAACTTCAAATTCTATGTCTGCTACACATGGGGTTAGACGAATGAGCCTGCAAAGAATTGAATAAATTGCCCCATGACGATTGGTAGCAAATGACCAGGCATATTTATTGTGCTGTGAGCTGCCAAGGGCACATAAATCATATATTGACAGACAATTCTCGTCTCTCTTTCTGTTTAAATAATAATGAATCCCTAATTCTGCCCCATCTTTTAATTCTATTTTTTGTTTGAGAACCGATTCCAAAACTTTTGTCTTTCCACAGTTAGGCAAACCCATGACTGCTATAAGACTTGTTACAACTGGGACCGTTTCATGTAGAATGATATCCCAAAACTTTTCATGACAAATCTTCTCCTCTATAATAGTTTAAGAATTCAGTAGTGAAGTTACTATTTGGATAAACTTACTGTATGGTTTCACGACAAGATCAGCAGGTATATCATCACCTTTAACATCAAAATCACTTACTTCTTGATAATTGTAATCCAAATCGCCTGTAACAATTGCAGACCCACCTTCATCAGCAGTAGCACCAACGGCGACCGGCTCTGCCTTTGTTAGGTAATCCACATCCATGATCACCCTCTTAAGGCAGAACCTTCTCTTTCAGGCAGGGCAAATGAAACGCTCGGACAAAGTCAAAAAATTTCTGGAATGCGCCTGTTCTAAGTGTTATGTTCTTGTCAAAACCAAAACGACACAAAATTAAATTTTATGAGCCACGCCCAACAATGGAAAATAAAAAATATTATAGCAATATTTAAAATTTTAAATGCAGCTAAAAATAATGTAAAATAAGGCCAACTTTGAACTTTACTAACAACTATTTAGACTAATATGCTATACTAGTGTTTTTAAGTTTCTCAGCAATATCATCGCACCCATTCTCTTTTAATTTATCTATCAGAGCATGTCTAGTAGGCTTGTCTGTTCGTTTTTCCCACAATAGGAGCATCAACATCAGTTCCTTCTTTTTGCTATCCTCATCTCCTGGACTACTCAAGTCAGGGAAATCACTTTTATCAATGTTCAGTGCTTTTTTAAGAGCTTCAAAATCATATTTGCCTGTAATAATGCCAGAAATGTCTTGAAAGTTCAGTAGATCATCTAAAAAATAATCATAATATCAATGAGCTGTAACTGAGTTAACATTAGTCTTACTTTCACTCGTTCTTGCTCCACTGCCTTCACTTAGCAAGTCACACTACATGAAACAAAATACACAACAATAAAATACATACCGGTAACTGAGTAATGACACATAAATAATAATCTTATTGCAAATAAACTTGTTCCTTAGTATGTGCTATCATTATACCTGTTTTGCTGCTTTGCTCCAACATAATCTGAAATTATTCTCAGTTGAACAAGCATCACAGAGCTGAGGCTCCCGATCATTATAGAGAAAATGACATCCACCTTCAGGAGATGCACAGGGAACGGCAAAACTGTATTTGAGGTCACGTATTACATTGATTTTACTTTTGAGACATCTACAGGAACCAGTAATAACTTTTTTGCATGCTTCAACTGTTGCTGGAGACATGAGTATGTCATTGGAACTGTTCATTATTCTTAATCTTGTCTTGCTTCCTTTGTAGATCATCTCTATTTCAATAGGAGGACCACTCTCAGACTGAAATAGAAATCGTGAAACGTTGTTGTGTTCTGTAGCAATAAGAACAGCATCTTTATTTTTCATAATGGAATTGCTAATGCAAGCTTGTACATTGGCTGGGAAGTTGACACTCTCTATCTCAATGAAAGCATAATCATCTTCTTTTTCTGGTGGTGTGTATACTTCACGAATTCTTGCTAATGGTAAATAATAGTGTACTTCAGGCTGAAGCGGCTTCTGGTCAATGAGAACAGACTGACCACTTTTGATTTTAGAGGCCATTGCAATAGTGGTAAGCACCTCCATAAAATTTTCAGCACATATATCAGGATACTTGCAGAAAATTCCCTTCACGGATGATTCTGATATGATTCCATACTTTAGCAGATTGTGAGCATACGATTCTTCTGTCTGAGGATAATAAAGCTTGTTTAGGTACTGAGTGAACTCCAAAATATTGACAATGACAATATCTTTAATACTGTCATACTGAGGCATGTAGAGGATGCTGCCAAAGTCAGTGAATGCTTTTAAAAACTTTTCAACTTCGTCCTCTTTCATATCCAGCTTGTCTGCCATTTCTATGATATATTTCTTGGACAGGATAATTGCTTTTGTTTCAGTACTATCAGTGACACGACAAGACTCCTCAAAAATATCCATCGAAGGGGGAGCTGTATTGTGAGCTGCTCATATTTGTTCTTAATTATATCTTCCATCCTCTGCCCAAATTCTTTTGTAATGGATTTCTCGTCATCGATATCAATTAATATCCAATTCTTTAGAAACTGGTCTACACCTCTTGATCTTGCTTGCTCGATTATTTCCTTTTTGGCTTGATCCAGTGAAGGTGTATTTCCTGTTGCTGAACTTTTCCTCGTGGCTATCATAACTGTAGCATTCTTTGTTTCTTGTTCATGCTGGTCTTTTGTGGTGTAACCAACTGTAGCAAAATGGAGGAGATATGTGAGTCGTGACCTTGGTTGCATAACCAAAACATCATCTTTTCTCTCCCCATAGTGGTCAGAAGGTAAGTCTGGTTTCTCACCAAGATTAGGCCCATCTCTATTCAATGAAAAGAAAGCAAGGTGAATGTGTTTGCCGCAAGAGAGAAGCATCATAGATAAAAAATCATAAAGAGCTTTGTTGACGCCAACATCCATTACGTTAATAAGAGAAACGCCGTCTTGAATGATGGTCAGCTTGTCTGACTCATCTTTAATTTTCTCAAGTAAATTTCGAATATTACCCATCAACCATTGAACGTGCTCTTCAATGACAGATTTTGGTTCTTGATCTCCAAGTTCAAACTCAAGGCTTGATACGATTGGGTATCGACGGATGAGACCACAAAGAATAGAAAAGATTGCCCCATAGCGCTTTGTGGCAAAGGACCAGGCATACATGTCATGTCGTGAACTGCCAAGAGCACATAACTCATATATTGACAGACACTGCTCATTTTTCTTTCTTTGAAGGTAATGATCGATTCTTGCTCCATCTTTCACTTTTACTTTTGCT